TTTGGGGTTTAGGGTTTCTGATTTTAGGGTTTAGGGTTTAGGGTTTAGATTCAGTATTAGGGTTCCAATTATCAATTTAGGGATTATGGTTTCATTTGGGGTTTAGGGTTTCATTTGGAGTTTAGAGTTTCGTTTGGGGTTTAGGGTTTCGTTTGGAGTTTAGGGTTTTGTTTGGGGTTTAGGGTTTCTGATTTTAGGGTTTAGGGTTTAGGGTTTAGATTCGGTATTAGGGTTCCAATTATTCATTTGGGGTTTAGGGTTTCATTTGGGGTTTAGGGTTTCGTTTGGGGTTTAGGGTTTAGGATTACATTTTTAGAGTTTCAGATTAGGGTTTCAATTCTCTTTTATACGATTTACGGTTTAAAGGGTTTAGAATTTCTATATGTAGATGAGTCAGTCACGTTCCGGGAGTAGATCGGGTAGTGGAGTCCGATCTCGCGGACGAGGATCCGGTGTTTCTAGTCCTTCTACCCCTACTTCTCAGCAGCCCCCAATACCCACACCTCGTTTGGATCAGCCTTTCACGGGTCAATCCACACAGCAACCTTCACATGAAGGTTGTTCGCGTGATTCATCAGTATCACTCCGAGAAATCCTCGCATCCGAGGATCGTCGTACGACGAGACCGCACCTTAGCCCAGAGCTAACCAACGGTACTTTATGGTAAGGAACATTGTAACAATTCATTTCTAAATTTTATATTAACGTTTACAGTTATATAACTAAGTATATTTATATACTCGCATAGATTCGGTCGTGAGTCCCAGATACGGAAGACAATTGTAAGCATCTTCCAGAGTGATTTTCAGGATCCTTGGCTCAGTATCACTCGTGTCCCTCCAACGACTCTGGAGCGTTGGTTTTGTGCATTTACAGTAAGTTTTCAAATTCAAACTATTCTTTTAATTTCATTTATTGTTTTATTAACATCAATTTTTTTTTATTGCAGCAAGCTTTTTATTGGGAGGAGCGCCACCACGGCATGGTTTATGCCGGTTGGAAGGAAGTGCTGGCTAACCGACTCCGTGATGCGATCTATCGGTCGGGTCAAAGTCGAAACAAGCCATTGTGGATGAGCGAGGGTGTTTGGAGCCTTCTCCTGGCTCACTGGGACTCAGATGATGCAGCAGAGAAGAGTCGGGTCGCCTCAGCCAACCGACGGTCTCGATCTGTGGGGGACCGCGCACCAGCAACTCATACCGCGGGTAGAAGATCTTTCGCCAGAGTCGCAATGGATATAGTAAGTAACTTTTATATTAATAATTATATTTATTTAAAAATTTTAGTAGTTATAATTATTTTGTTTTTAGGCTCAAAAAGAAGGTGTAGAACCGTCGGTTCTACGAGTTCTTCAGGACACACACCGTCGATCGGACGGTACATATGTGAATGAGCGGGTCAACATTGTAACAATTCATTTCTAAATTTTATATTAACGTTTACAGTTATATAACTAAGTATATTTATATACTCGCATAGGTTCGGTCGTCAGTCCCAGATACGGAAGACAATTGTAAGCATCTTCCAGAGTGATTTTCAGGGTCCTTGGCTCAGTATCACTCGTGTCCCTCCAGCGACTCTGGAGCGTTGGTTTTGTGCATTTGTGGTAAGTTTTCAAATTCAAACTATTCTTTTAATTTCATTTATTGTTTTATTAACATCAATTTTTTTTATTGCAGCAAGAGTCGGGTCGCCTCAGCCAACCGACGGTCTCGATCTGTGGGGGACCGCGCACCAGCAACTCATACCGCGGGTAGAAGATCTTTCGCCAGAGTCGCAAAGGATATAGTAAGTAACTTTTATATTAATAATTATATTTATTTAAAATTTTTAGTAATTATAATTATTTTGTTTTTAGGCTAAAAAAGAAGGTGTAGAACCGTCGGTTCTACGAGTTCTTCAGGACACATACCGTCGATCAGATGGTACATATGTGAATGAGCGGGTCCAGCAGATCGAGGAGTTGGTGCAGTCCAAGATCGACGATAAAGTCTCCCAGATGGACGAGAGTACTGCTTCTACACAACTCTCGACAACCGAAGTTAACAGCCTATATCTAGAGGTAAATATTTATAAAATTAATAGTTTTGAATTTTAAAAATATATGATTGTATGCTAATTTTTCTTTCATTGTATAGGTTGTCCATCCGGATGCCAAGGGCCGTATCTATGGTGTCGGCACCTTGGCATCTCAACTGGGCGGGGGAGAAACTTCTGCTCCGGCGATTACTCACCATGTCGCGCTAACGCGTGAAGTAGAAGAGTTGAAACGCTCCCAAGAGCGGACGATTGCAGAACTAGCAGAGGCCCGGGCGAAGATCGAGGAGTTCGAGCAACATCGAGAAAAGCTACAGAAGCTCTCCGAGACCGAAGCGAGGATCGTACGCTTCGAAGAGATGATGCAGCGCCTCACACCGTTCATGCCGCCTATATTCGACCAGTATGGCTTTCCGACGACATCTCGGCAGCCAGATGATCCTCAGGACGATCCGGAGGACGCACCCGCCAATCTCGGCAATGATTCACCGGTTGATCCATAGACATCTTTGTATTATAACTCTTTCTAAATTATTGTATTATACTTTTTCTTAATTATGAATCTTGTTTTGTTTTTAATTAATTCGTATTTCTAATTTATGAATTTGTTTTTAAAATTAATTTTTAAAATATTTAAATTAATTATAAATTTTTTGTTTTTTTTTAATTACTTTTACAGCGACGGATATAATCTGTCGTAATCCGTCGCAGTTACTTGCGACGGACCGTAATCCGTCGTTACGTTCGGAAATCAAGAAAGCGACGCATAAACGACGGATAGATTCCGTCGTTAACGTTTGCTACGGATAAGTCTGTCGGAATGTGCGACAAACATAAACGCGACGGTCTACGACGGTTTTATATCCGTCGGTAAATTAACGACGGAATACGACGGAAATTGTCCGTCGTAATTGTGCGACGGTTAACCGACTGAAACAAATTTGCGACAGCTCTGTACCGACGGATTTGTCCCCGTCGTTATCCGTCGCAAACAAGGTGTTGCGACGGATATTTGTTCGCTGTGCGACGGATGTTTCCGGTCGCATATGGATTGTATTTTTGTAGTGTTCTTTGCGTGTTGATTGCCATGCAGAGCAAAGATCTGGTATACGTACATCTTGTCGCATGAATGATTCTCATATATTTCACTTTAAAATCTCCTCTTATAGTTTGCAAACTTGTAATCATAATCCCCTCTTCTTATAATATATTTAATCGACGTAAAACCCTTAAGTAAAAATACTCATCGATACGTATATATGGTGACAAACAGCATGCAACCAAAGCTCTTGTATCCTTCTCATTGGTTTTCTCCTACGTATTTCCCAATTACAGGACACGGATCCTTCTAGCACCATATCGGCATGACCTTCCTACAGTACAATGAAAAAAAAAGGTACCCATGTTCTCAAATATTATTTAGAATTTGTACAAATCTCTACAAGCACACACACATGCATGTATATGTGTGTGTGGGTGTGTCTATATATATATATATATATATATATATATATATATGTAATCTCCAAGACAATCAAAACCAACAGAGAAAGCGAGACAGCATGAAGGTGAGGTTTCATGTGTTTGCTCCCCCTCTCTATATCTATCTATCTATCTATCTATCTATCTATCTATCTATCTATCTATACCGACCGATATGTTTGCGTTTAATTTATGTAATGATTTTCTATTATATGCTCTAAATTCCGGTAATATTAAGTGCGAGATTAAATCTTGGTGCAGCTGCTGAATTGGATGCGAGTGAAAATAAAGCAAACAAACACCAACCCATTGAAAGAGTTTGTAACAGGTACCTAACCCTATAAGCATAATCTCTTTCTAGGTTACTTGCATGCATGCAAACATGTATACATATGTGTATATATATAACGGCTGTCTTAATCGCTACTAACTCTATGTATGCGTGTTCTCGATTTCAGGTAACTATGGCGGTTGTTGTCTGCGTCCGGGCTCGTGCTTTGTAACGAACCAGAACACAAAGTCTGTAACTTGTCCGAACCATGTTTACCGAAACTCATCTTCTGAAAAGGGTCATCTCGAAGAAGAACGAGAAGAAGAAGTAACGTTTCCTGGGTTTCTCGCCATTGGAACGTTAGGGTTAGAACCTCCCGCCACACCGAAATTGTTCGACGCACCACTGGAAGAAGATGGATCCCAAGAGAAGATGGAAGTTATTACAGAGGATGAACTCAAGCTCATTAGCGATAAAATCGAGATGTTCCTTGAATCTGAAACTGAACAAAGCTACAACGGATCGATGTTCCAGATTAAAGAGCAACATCTATCTGGTAAGTTTTCACAGCACATTGATCAGTTCTTACAAAAGGGCTGGATCTGATTATGAGTTAAACACACGAGATCTGTCTTTCTTCAGGCCTCGGGGAATTTTCTGACACTGCTAGCCTCAAGGCCGAGGAATCAAATCCAGAAGAGTATGGAGAACCTGTCATGTTTCCTCTGCAAGGCTATCTCCTCGGATCTTCGCTTGAACTTCTGAAGGAAAACGACAAAGTTAAGAAGAAAAAAGGGTCCATTGCAGATCTGTTCCAGAGGAAAAAATCAGCAGAGAAACCGAGTTTCAGTGAAAGAAGAGATTCGATTAAGAAGACGACCATGTGGAGAAAGCTTCATGGAACTGCCAAGAAGAGCTTCACTCACTGTGGCAAGGATGATGATGATGATGATTCTGTGCCCCAGAAGAAAAAACTCAGAAAGGTTTGAACTTTTTAACTCACTGTATTGCATTTCACCTCAATGGGATTGTCTGAATTTGATGCATTTTGAACATATTGTGGTTACAGATTGGCCAACTATTCCGTAGAAAGATCCACCCTGTTATTTGCACATCTGAAACCGAGGGAAACAAGCCAAACAAAGATCAAAAGATCGATGATATGTTCCGAAACAGAAGAAGCTACATCAATGGCGATGATCTTATATACCGACATGGAGGAGGAGACAACCAAGTTTCGAGCTCAAGTGAAGAAGGCTTTCTCAGTTCTGAAACAAGCTCCGACATGACTCAGTACGAGGTTGTGGGAAAGA